TGATGATCGTCCGTCGTCTGCTGCGTTGCCGGAAGACAGAACATTAAGTGGAGCTATTGATGGTGTTGAGCATAATTTGGCTCCAAGCGGGTACATTGTGTATGCTGAGAACGACGTGATTGTCGATGCCACAGTTCAACCGATGGGATTTCGTGTCGTGGTCAAGGCGCCCGGTGGTCCGGGAGGGAATATCGCCACAAGGTTTGTGTTTGAATCAATTGCTTCCCGGCTTGGCACTCATCCGGAGATAATGAAACTATACTGTGGTGACGCACGCATCCGCTTCGGTGAAACGGTACCTTACGAACAGGGACTGCCCCCAGGCAAAGGGCGGCTGTGGGTCGACGTGCGTTTTGATGAAGACAGAATTCCGCTCCACCTGCAGACGTTGCGGAGGGATGACCATCTTGTCCGCTGCGTGCAGGTGCGTGCGCGGTTGGGCCCCATTCGCCCCGTCGATCTGGTGGCTGCCCGTCGGCGCGGGCTGAACTTTGATGAAGCCATCAAAGAAGTGAGGCAAAACACCAAGAGCGAGGATATCATTACGGTGGCGATACTTCATGAATCAAGAGGCATTCGTTTGCCGTTTATAGGCGGCTACCGTGCCAAGAAGGACCACTCACGCGTCTTTCTCCATGCGGCAACGCAGCTCACATCCCCTGGCGACACCTCTCTCGCTGATCTGAAGCATGGGCCAATTCAGCGTGACCGTACCACAAGAAAAACGCAGACGTATGGAGTGTCGCGGAGCTGCCAGACACTGCGGGAGTGCAGTACGCAGACATCACGCCCTGACTTTGAAGTTGACGAGAAGTTTGACGATATCGTCGTAGCAAAACCTTACTTCTCGTCATCGGAGCTGCTCGATCTGCAAACGGAGAAAGCCGTTGTAATACAGAAGATGTATCGTAAATGGAAGGCGCGTTGTGTCTATAGAGAACTAGCCGCAGAGCGCCAGAGCCTCCTCGACAGGGCAGCCGCCCAAGCTGCCGCAGAAGAAGACGAGAAGCGACGCATCGAAGAGTTCGAACGCCGACGTCGTGCGACGCCTCGCACTGCTGATGACTTTGCCACGCTTCGCCGTGAATTGGTATCCTGGCGCGCGGCGGAGGCAGCCCGCATTCTTTCCGACAACAAGCTTAGCGAGGTGGAGAAGCGTACCGCTCTCACCGAACTCACCAAGAAGGAGCTACAACTTCTAAAGGAGCTTGATACACTCCACCGCGACGCCACACGGAGCCGCCGCACGCGTCGCTTTGAAGACATACTTGCTGTGATGACAGCAGCCAAGGAGTGTGGAGCAGTTTCGGTCACCACGCAGGCTGCAGAGCGTGCACGTGAGCTGCGGCAACTGTACTTGGCCTTGACGGAAGCGCCGTCCTCGGTTGAGGCGCGCCTTGATGTGCTGCTTCACATCAAGTGGACGGTAAAGGAGTTTGACGTGCCCCTCACACAGCAAATTGCGGAGCTTGTGGACCGCGAATCGGATTTGCTGCACCGTGGTCGTACGGCATGTTCCCTCAAGGGACTGCGCGTTCGCCTGGAGAATCTGTTCAAGCGCTTTATTGCTACCCCAGAATACAATCCTGCGGTGGATGAGGTTGTCAAGGGTCCAAAGTTTGGCTTGCTCGCTGGAAGTGAAGCTGCTTCCGCTTTTGCGGTGTCGCGCCGTTTGAAGCCATCACACGCATCGTAACAAAACAAGGTACGCGCGCGCACACACACACACACACATACGAATACGGTGGCGTGGACAATGATCGAGTTACTGGAGATTAGAAGGATACGAAGGGAAATTATGCGAATGTGTTGCCTTCTATAAGTGACACAAGTTGTGGAATGTATGTTGGGGGCAGCGGTGGGATTGTGTGCGCCTTTGCCTTCAGTGTGTCTTGGAATGTAGAGAAAGTGAACGGGCGTGGTGCCGCTTTGAGTGGTTTCCTGTCTATTTCCGCTCCGTTTCATTCGTGTATGCATGCCGTTTTGTCCCCCTTTGTGAGGCCTTTTGTGCTAGTTGTTTCCATCACTCGAACACAATTCGTGCTCTATGCCTCTTTGCTGCGTCTCATGCCACACGTAGAGACCAAATAAGAAGAAAAAGACGAGTAAAACGCATAAGTGGGAAATGAGTTTCGCTGGTCTCCAGCAGCGGCTGCAGAAGAAGGCAGCGCCAACAAAAACAACACCCCCAGATACGACGACGCCTGTCCATGAGGCTGACTATAAACCCACGGTATCCTCCAGCTCTATCTATGCCATCGCCGCGAAGGAGGCGTGCGCAAACCACGCGGAACGCAAGCGGCCACGTTCCCCCTGCGAAGACGTCCAACCACCTTGTAGCATCCCCACACGTGATGGCGGCACACCCGCTACGCCGTCGCTTGAGAACCCGCCTGTAGAGAAGACAAAGCCAAAGATCCTCTCGGAGACAGATTTTCTTGCACGGCGACAGTTCGCTGAAGAGGTGGTGTCACGTTGCGCCAAGCAGATGTCTCAGATTGCATCGTCCACGCCCACCTCTAGTTGCACGTCGAGTGGTAATAAGGAATTACGGGCGCACCGCATAACCGCATTGCCACTGCCGCTGTGTCGCTATCTCGAGCAGAGGTTGCAACGCCCATCCGCCGCCACTTGTGTGTCGACCGCCGCCAATGAAGAAGAGGAGCATGATCTCTTCTGCGCCCTCCACGCCGTGGTTGACAGCCAACGCATCGAAGTCGAGGCTGTGCCCTCGGAACTAGAGGCTCTTGTTACCATCCTACGCACATTCTGGCATGGCTTATGCTGGCACTGGCGTATGGCACTTTGTGGTTTGGAGGACAGTGCTACTCGCTACGGTGGGTGGACGTACGACGCCTACTTACTCTCGCGCCACGCGCTGCCGGATTTGGTGCGGTGTGCACGAGGCCGCGAGGTGGCACTGACGTTGGAAACGTGGCGGGAGGCCTACCGTGTGCGGCAGTGCGTGCTTGACTTCCTGGCGTACGCACTCCATGATGTGAACACCGTCATGGAATTCAGCAGTAATGGTGATCGCAAGTGTGATGCGGCACCGCGAATCATTCCGACGGAGATTGTGGATAGTCTCTATGACATGGTGCAGCATCTGCGCCGCCGCGACTTCGCCACTTGTCGGCAGCTGTACGTTGACCTTACAATGGGTACGGCAAACTGGAAACTGGGCCTCTTCTCGGGTGGCGAAGTGCACATGCGGCGCTCCTTGGAGCGGATTGAGCGCCGCCGCATCGCCCACCTGCTTCACAACGAGGGGGCCGTTCGTCTCTTGCACGCACTGCGGGAGTTGATGGATTTTGTGCAGCTGCACGAAGCCGCCCTGTTGTCTTCTGGTCTTTTTGTGACAGAAAGCAAAATGTCGTAGCGAGTGCGAACCGCGAATAGTAAATGTTGACTGAGCGGGACGGGGACTGTTTTTCTTTTTTTACTTAATGTGTTCTCCATGGAGGTTATAGAGCGCCGGCTTGGCTTCCGCTTCTAGTCTTTTGTTCTCTCTCTTCTCTTCTTTTTCCACTATATGCTGCAAAAGGGAGACGACAGTTCACCAGATATCATCAGCCCACCGTGACATATTCTTTGTGGTGTGGCTACCTATGAGTTTTACCCCTCCTACTGTCCATCCTGGCTTTCAGCGTTACTTGCCTGGCCACCTGCCGAAGCAGCAGCGGCGGCTCTGCGTTGGGAGAACGAACCGCAAGACACACGAGGCTGATCAAATAACCATCATACAGAACGAAGTAGCACAACAGCTGAACCTGCCTAATCGATTAGCTCAGTCAGTGGTGCCATCACTCACAGTCACACGTGCTGCTGTCGACTCTAGAAAGATAGCACCCTTAGACTTTATTGAAGAGACTGGTAAGATCTCACGGAAAAGTGGCGCTATTGCCAGTGAGGGAAGCAGCAGCGGGGCAAGCGGCAAGAAAAATAGAGCTGAGGAATTCACTACAGTCCAGTCGCTGATCGCATCAAATGCTACAGGTAAAGAGCACGGCTTTACCCAAGAGACATTTTACTTTGGAACCCGAACATTGGGCGGTGCAGGACAGATGGAGTACAACAACCCACGTGATCACCATAGCCACAATCACACTGTTAGTATGTGGAATACACGCAAGCACTTCGATCCAGAGGTTTGGTTAGAGAAGGCCGTCCAGCACCCTTCCACGTCACCGCGAAAGGTGCACAACAAAACGCCCAGAGCAGAAAATTCAAGAGATTCGGAAATCGGCAATGAACAAATAGCGCACTGCAGCAGCAATACGTCCTCCACGTGCCTCGTGACGCCCGCACAACCCAACAGAAACGCACCCTCGCAATACCCAGTCACGAGTCAAAAAAGCACCGTCACAACACCATGGATCACAGAATACGTACCCCCCAACTGCTACGATGTACCGCCACCAAAGCTTCGTTTCGAGCTCACGGATTATCATTCAACCTTCCACCACACAGAGGCGCATCGCGCATCCGCACTCTACCCCAACGCAGAGGAACAATATAGCTCTACACAGAAAGTACCCCTTGCAACACCTACTGGAAGCACATTAAACACCCCGGGGCGACGACGGTATCCCCAACGCCCAAAATAACATTACACACTTTGCCAATATGTCAAACAAAACACCAACATTATGCCTACATCAAATATGTACAACACAATGATATTTATCAACCAAAACAAAGCACAGTGCTATGACTCAGCACAAAGATGATGTTAACAACAACAAAAAATAAAACACAACAAACAAACTCTTATTCCTCAAATTCTTCGCAAACATAGTTATAGCAAACTCAACCAATACACACCAAACCCCAAAGCCACTACTTGCAACTACCGATGGCAACCCCAAAGCAGGCGAAGAGGATGTCGAAGAAGAAGGGCAGCAGCCGCTCCGCGAAGGCCGGCCTGATCTTCCCCGTGGGCCGCGTGGGCTCGATGATGCGCCGCGGTCAGTACGCGCGCCGCATTGGGGCGTCCGGCGCCGTGTACATGGCGGCTGTGCTGGAGTACCTGACGGCGGAGCTTCTGGAGCTGTCCGTGAAGGCGGCGAGCCAGCAGGCGAAGAAGCCGAAGCGCCTGACGCCCCGCACGGTGACGCTTGCTGTGCGCCACGACGACGACCTCGGTGCGCTGCTGCAGAACGTGACGCTGTCGCGCGGCGGCGTGATGCCGAGCCTGAACAAGGCGCTGGCGAAGAAGCAGAAGGGCAGCAAGAAGGCGAAGGCGACCCCCGCCGCTTAGAGAGGCGTCCGGGCCGCGCGCAGGGTCTCCACTGCCCCCTAGATACGCGCTAGTGTGCACCACCCAGCCGAACGTGCCGCTGGGTGGCTTCATAGAAACCGGGATTTTTCTTTCGCTCTCCACTCTTGTCTCCGGGTGTGGGCGCCCTCGCGTTGGTGGGGTTGTGCCCGCTCGTGACTGTGCGGCAGCTTTTCCGCAGCGCTGCGCCACTGCTCTTCCCCCTTTTTGTCTTCCCCAGAGCAACAAACACACCGAAGCTACTACTTGCAACTACCGATGGCAACCCCAAAGCAGGCGAAGAGGATGTCGAAGAA